TATCAAGGTTTTGAGTTCAGGGTTTAGGGTGTTCTGGAACAGATGTATTGGAATAATCTATATTCGACGAGGCGTTGGACGGTGAAAACCTTAAACCCTTTGGATTACCAACCATCAGAAGTACCTATTATCTATCCTGTCTGTGTACGTTTATACACACGATATCGGTGTTCTGCTTGTCTGTAGTAGTGTGACAGTAACAGACCCTTAAACACTCACGTCCCAACCCCTGTGACCCACGAATGCGTCTCTCATAGTACTTGCTGCTTCTGCATAGCTACGGAATACAAGGCGTCCTGTCATAACAGATAGTTTTGTTCCTAACCACGCCACCACTTACACACCCCTATAACCCTTAACCACCCCCCCACCCCCCCAACACACACATCGCACCCTGGCTACAACTCTTAACCGCCCCCCTCCCCTCCCCAACAAACCGATCGCACCCAACCTACCTTTTGATGGCGTATCAGCCTCACGTGTTGTCTGCCCAGTAGACTGACTGTCTGTGTCGTTCACCTTATCCAGTCCATCCGATAGTGTCGGTGCAGTAGCTGGCGATACCTGGGGATCATCAGTCACCGGAAAGGCCCCCGCGACCACCACATGCTCGGCGTCAAAGCTCGAGTCAGCTGTATGTAATATAAATAGAATCCGATTAATCTATTTAGAGGCAAGTCGGTAAATAGTTTATGACACACACCGAAACGGCTCCCGCTAATACCACATTATCGGTGTCAAAAGCTCAAGTCAGATGTGTGTGATATAAATTGAATTCAAACAATCTATTTGTAGATCTGTTATATATTAGATGAAAGGTGGTAAATGGTCCCTGTCAGATACCGCGCCGACCCACTACTACCACATTCTCGGCTTGCTGTGTGATATTTTTGGATGCACGAGGGTACATGATCCATATCAGATGCCGGGGCGGCTCTTTCCGTGCATTAGATCCCGAGTGGAGTGTATGTACGTGACATGAACGTATACAGCCAATATAGGTTTTGTAGTCCTACAATCTATTAAGGTGCAGTGCCAGTTTGGTACGCAGTACATGTCGGGTACTTGGAATAGTGTAACGCCGCACCAGACCGCCGCATTAAAGCCGAGGTCACCTGCGAGTGACCACAAGGCGTATACTTGACTTATTTATAGCCCTGTACTCTATCTAACCCAGCTAATAGTATATACTCCCTTCGCGATCAGTAACGGCATCGTGACAAACCTGTGTCTGTACTTGCTCCTTCCCTAGAAGACCGTTGCTGTTCATATATATCAGGCGTTTATGTATAAAATCATATGAT